TGACGTGAGTCACCCCCACCAGACGCAGGGACAGGTGGCCACTCACCCCACTCCACCACTCCTCACCCCCCACGCTCACCTCCACCTCGTAGTAGACGGCTGGGAAAACAACAACAACAGCAACAACATCAACAACATCAACAACAACAACATCATCAACAACATCATCATGGGATCTCCTTTGCCAGTACCAAAATATACTAATAGGGTTTTTCCCCTTTTTTCTGGCAACAAAACTGACACCTTTTGCAAGGAATCATGCTTACATTAACCACAATACCTGCAGTCAAATGCAAACAAAAAACAATACTCTGATAATTTATGCATTGTCTTTGAAACTGATTGGTCCGCACCAGAGACAGCTTTCTTGTGCGCCTTTTGGCGTCATCTGGTCGAACACCATATGAGACTAGGCTCCAAAGAATGCTGTCTCTGGTGCGGACCAATCAGTTTCAAAGACAATGCATAAATTATCAGAGTATTGTTTTTTGTTTGCATTTGACTGCAGGTATTGTGGTTAATGTAAGCATGATTCCTTGCAAAAGGTGTCAGTTTTGTTGCCAGAAAAAAGGGGAAAACCCCTATTAGAACATCAACATCAACAACAACATCATCAACAACAACATCAACAACAACATCATCAACAACATCATCAACATCATCATCTGCAACAACAGCAACAACATCATAATTGGTTCTTTACCCTTCTATCTGGCAACAAAACTGACACCTTTTTGCAAGGAGTCATGTTTGCATAGACCGCAATACCTGCAGTCATAATACAAACAAAAGAACATAACTCTGATAATGTGCACTGTCCTTGAAGTTGATTGGTCCACACCCGAGACAGCTTTCCTTCGAGCCTAGTCTCATATGGGTTGGACCAGATGACGCCAAAAGGCGCACAACTCAAGGACAATGCACCATCAGAGTATGAGAGCTCGGGGCAAGCATAGTGTAGATGCTTGCCCCGAGCTCTCATACTCTGATGGTGCATTGTCCTTGAGTTGTGCGCCTTTTGGCGTCATCTGGTCCAACCCATATGAGACTAGGCTCTAAGTAAAGCTGTCTCGGGTGTGGACCAATCAACTTCAAGGACAGTGCATACATTATCAGAGTTATGTTTTTTGTTTGCATTATGACTGCAGGTATTGCGGTCTATGCAAACATGACTCCTTGCAAAAAGGTGTCAGTTTTGTTGCCAGATAGAAGGGTAAAGAACCAATTATCATATTTTTACTGGCAAATGAGGTCCCCATAGAGCAACAACATCAACAACATCAACAACATCATCAACAACATCAACAACAACATCAACAACATCAACAACAACATCATCTGCAACAACATCAACATCAACAACATCAACAACAACATCATCAACAACATCATCAACAACATCATCAACAACATCATCAACAACAACTACATCAACAATGTTGACCGTCAACCACATCAGCAACAACTGCAACAACATCGACAACATCGACAACTGCAACAACAAAATCATCAACAAGGGTGTTGGGGGAGGGGTGGGGGCTAGTGGGGGGTGAAGGGGGTGGGGGCTAGTGGGGGGTGAAGGGGGTGGGGGCTAGTGGGGGGTGAAGGGTGGGGGCTAGTGGGGGGTGAAGGGTGGGGGCTAGTGGGGGGTGAGGGTGGGGGCTAGTGGGGGTGAAGGGTGGGGGCTAGTGGGGGGTGAAGGGGGGGGGCTAGTGGGGGGTGAGGGTGGGGGCTAGTGGGGGGGTGAAGGGTGGGGCTAGTGGGGGGTGTAGGGGGGTGGGGGCTAGGGGGGTGTAGGGGGGGGGGCTAGTGGGGGGTGAGTGTAGGGGGTGGGGGCTAGTGGGGGGTGAGGGGGTGGGGGCTAGTGGGGGGTGAGGGGGTGGGGGCTAGTGGGGGTGAGTGTAGGGGGTGGGGGCTAGTGGGGGGTGAAGGGGTGGGGGCTAGTGGGGGGTGAGGGGGTGGGGGCTAGTGGGGGGTGAGTGTAGGGGGTGGGGGCTAGTGGGGGGTGAAGGGGTGGGGGCTAGTGGGGGGTGGGGGGTGGGGGCTAGTGGGGGTGAGTGTAGGGGGTGGGGGCTAGTGGGGGGTGAAGGGGTGGGGGGCTAGTGGGGGGTGAGGGGGTGGGGGCTAGTGGGGGGGGAGTTGTAGGGGGTGGGGGGCTAGTGGGGGGTGAAGGGGTGGGGGCTAGTGGGGGGTGAGGGGGTGGGGGCTAGTGGGGGTGTGAGTGTAGGGGGTGGGGGCTAGTGGGGGGTGAAGGGGGTGGGGGCTAGTTGGGGGGGTGAAGGGGTGGGGGCTAGTGGGGGGTGAGGGGGTGGGGGCTAGTGGGGGGTGAGGGGGGTGGGGGCTAGGTGGGGGTGAAGGGGTGGGGGCTAGTGGGGGGGTGAAGGGGGTGGGGGCTAGTGGGGGGTGAGGGGGTGGGGGCTAGTGGGGGGTGAAGGGTGGGGCTAGGTGGGGGGGTGAAGGGTGGGGGCTAGTGGGGGGTGAAGGGTGGGGGCTAGTGGGGGGTGAAGGGTGGGGGCTAGTGGGGGGGGTGAAGGGTGGGGGCTAGTGGGGGGTGTAGGGGGTGGGGGCTAGTGGGGGGTGAAGGGTGGGGGCTAGTGGGGGTGAAGGGGTGGGGCTAGTGGGGGGGGTGAAGGGTGGGGGCTAGTAGGGGGGTGAAGGGTGGGGGCTAGTGGGGGGTGAAGGTGGGGGCTAGTGGGGGGGTGTAGGGGGTGGGGGCTAGTGGGGGGGTGAAGGGGTGGGGGCTAGTGGGGGGTGAAGGGTGGGGGATCTAGTGGGGGGTGAAGGGTGGGGGCTAGTGGGGGGTGTAGGGGGTGGGGGCTAGTGGGGGGGTGAAGGGTCGGGGCTAGTGGGGGGTGAAGGGTGGGGGCTAGTGGGGGGTGTAGGGGGTGGGGGCTAGTGGGGGGTGAAGGGGTGGGGGCTAGTGGGGGGTGAAGGGTGGGGGCTAGTGGGGGGTGAAGGGTGGGGGCTAGTGGGGGGTGTAGGGGGGTGGGGGCTAGTGGGGGGTGAAGGGTGGGGGCTAGTGGGGGGGTGAAGGGGTGGGGGCTAGTGGGGGGTGAAGGGTGGGGGCCTAGTGGGGGGTGAAGGGTGGGGGTGGGGGCTATAGTGGGGGTGAGTGTAGGGGTGGGGGCTAGTGGGGGGTGAAGGGGTGGGGGCTGGTGGGGGGTGAGGAGGTGGGGGCTAGTGGGGGGTGAGTGTAGGGGGTGGGGGCTAGTGGGGGGTGGAAGGGGTGGGGGCTAGTGGGGAGTGAGGGGGTGGGGGCTAGTGGGGGGGGGTGAGTGTAGGGGGTGGGGGGCTAGTGGGGGGTGAAGGGGTGGGGGCTAGTGGGGGGTTGTAGGGGTGGGGGCTAGTGGGGGGGGGGTGAGTGCGCTCACCACAGAAGGGAGAGTTGTTGGATGTCTCTGCGTAGGCGGCCACTCCGCTGAAGTTGACGCGCTGGGGGGGCAGCCAGCGCTCTACCCAGTAGCCTGGGGGGGGGGTCACGTGGGAGGGGGTCACGTGGGGGGGGGGTCACGGGGAGGGGGTCACGGGGGAGGGGGGGGTCACGTGGGAGGGGGGGGCGTCACGTGGGAGGGAGTCACGGGGGAGGGGGTCACGGAGGAGCGGGGTCACGGGAGAGGGGGGGTCACGTGGGGGGGGGGGGTCACGTGGGGGGGGGGGTCACGTGGGAAGGGGGTCACGGGGGAGGGGGGTCACGTGGGAGGAGGGGTCACGGGGGAGGGGGTCACGTGGGAAGGGGGTCACGGGGGAGGGGAGTCACGTGGGAGGGGGGTTATGGGGGAGGGGGGTCACGTGGGAGGGGGTCACGTGTGCACGGGGGGTCACGTGGGAGGGGGGTCACGGGAGAGGGGGGGTCACGTGGGGGGGTCACGTGGGAGGGGGTCACACACCGCGTGCTGCTGATGTGTTGATCCAGCAGTGAATAGACCATGACGATGATGATTTAGGTATCCATGACAATGATAACGATGTGTGTAAGTGTGTGTGCTGTGTGTGTGTGATGTGTGGTGTGTGTGTGATGTGATGTGTGTGATGTGTGTGTGTGATGTGTGTGATGTGTGTAATGTGTGTAATGTGTGTGTGTGTGATGTATATGTGATGTGTGTGTGTAATGTATGTGTGTGTGATGTGTGTGATGTGTGTAATGTGTGTAATGTGTGTAATGTATGTGTGTAATGTAATGTGTGTAATGTATGTGTGTGTGATGTATATGTGATGTGTGTGATGTGTGTAATGTGTGTAATGTATGTGTGTAATGTAATGTGTGTAATGTATGTGTGTGTGATGTATATGTGATGTGTGTGATGTGTGTAATGTGTGTAATGTATGTGTGTAATGTAATGTGTGTAATGTATGTGTGTGTGATGTATATGTAATGTGATGTATGTGTGTGTATATGTGATGTGTGTGATGTATATGTGATGTGTGTGATGTGTGTGTGTAATGTATGTGTATGTGATGTATATGATGTGATGTATGTGCTGTATGCACGTGTGTGATTCGTCGTCACCTAGCAGGGGACAGACCCCGATTGGTCCGACGTTTGCAGTCGGAGCATAGACCCTCCCGCAGGGCCTCTCGCGATGCGCAGGGGAACGCCGCAGTGCTACACGGAGCTCGCATCGACGCCAGGAACAGAAACGAGGAGCGCTGGTGGTCGCAGATCACAAACTCCTTCCCTGGCAGAGACAAAGACACAGACAAAGGCGCCCGACCCCATGTGTAGCCTCGGCAGAATGTTGGGGCAAGTGCCGTTGAGGCGAGTTTCAGTTCTCATGTGCAGGTAGTCCCCGAATTGAGATGGGTACGACTTACGATATTTCGATCTTGCGATAATTCACTGGTCAACACACTTTTTTCTGGCATAAGGTATGCACTGTCCTTGAAGTTGATTGGTCCACACCCGAGACAGCTTTTCTTAGAGCCTAGTCTCACATGGTGTTGGACCAGATGACGCCAAAAGGCTCACAATGTAGTGTATAGTGTAGTGTATAGTGTAGTGTATAGTAGTGTAGTGTATAGTAGTGTAGTGTATAGTGTAGTGTATAGTAGGTGTAGTGTATAGTGTAGTGTATAGTTGTGTCGTGTATAGTAGTGTCGTGTATAGTGTGTGTATAGTGTAGTGTATAGTGTAGTGTATAGTAGTGTATAGTAGTGTATAGTGTAGTGTGTAGTGTATAGTAGTGTAGTGTGTAGTGTAGTGTATAGTTGTGTATAGTAGTGTAGTGTATAGTGTAGTGTATAGTGTAGTGTATAGTGTAGTGTATAGTAGTGTAGTGTATAGTGTAATGTATAGTAGTATAGTGTATAGTGTAGTGTATAGTAGTGTATAGTGTAGTGTATAGTGTAGTGTATAGTAGTGTATAGTGTAGTGTATAGTAGGTATAATAGTGTATAGTGTAGTGTATAGTAGTGTAGTGTATAGTGTAGTGTATAGTGTAGTGTATAGTAGTGTGTAGTGTATAGTGTAGTGTATAGTAGTGTATAGTGTAGTGTATAGTGTAGTGTATTGTGTAGTGTATAGTTGTAGTGTATAGTGTAGTGTATAGTGTAGTGTATAGTATAGTGCAAGTGTAGTGTATAGTGTAGTGCATAGTGTAGTAGTAGTGTAGTGTAGTGTATAGTGTATGTAGTAGTGTATAGTGTAGTGTATAGTGTAGTGCATAGTGTAGTGTATAGTGTCGTAGTGATAGTGTAGTGTATAGTATAGTGCATAGTGTAGGTATAGTGTAGTGTATAGTGTAGTGTATAGTGTAGTGTATAATTAGTGTATAGTAGTGTATAGTGTAGTGTATAGTGTAGTGTATAATGTAGTGTATAATGTAGTGTATAGTGTAGTGTATAATGTAGTGTACTAGTGGTATAGTGTAGTGTATAGTGTAGTGTATAATGTAGTGTATAAGGTAGTGTAATGTAGTGTATAGTAGTGTAAGTAGTGTAGTGTATAGTAGTATAGTGTAGTGGTATAGTGTAGTGTATAATGTAGTGTATAGTAGTGTAGTGTATACTGTATAGGTGTATTGTATAGTAGTGTAGTGTATAGTAGTGTAGTGTATAGTGTAGTGTAGTGTATAGTGTAGTGTATAGTAGTGTAGTGTATAGTAGTATAGTGTGGTGTAGTGTATAGTGTAGTGTATAGTGTAGTGTATAGTGTAGTGTATAGTGTAGTGTATCGTAGTGTAGTGTATAGTGTAGTGAGTTCCACTCCTCACCCTGCAGGATGGTTTTTGGGCAGCCCGGCTGGTCTTCGCCGCCGTTGATGTAGAAGTCCACGTGACCGACCGACGTTTGATGCCGAACACTGGCCCAGAGAGAGGGACACGGGGGGGGGGTGGGGGGGGGGGGTTGAACACAAAGGTCAAGGCAAAGGTGACCTCCACCCAGGTAGCCTGAGATGGAGCGTCAGGCAAAGTGGCGGCGAAGATCTATTTTTAGAATATAACGCTAGTGCTACGTCTATCACTCTGTCTATCGGCCGGTCAGTCGGCGCTAGGCATTTCTATGCGATAGGCTGCAAACACACACATACGTCAGCAGCAGCAGCTTGGGAGCAAGGTTACAGCCGCAACTACGGTCTGCTAATGTACAGTGATACCTCGGTTCACGAACGCTTCTGTTCACGAACAACTCGGTTCACGAACAGAAAAGTTCATAAAAAGATGCTCCGGTCACGAACTGCTTTCTGTTCACGAACAACTCGGTTCACGAACAGAAAAGATTAAAAATATGCTCCGGTTCACGAACTCTGCTTCTGTTCACGAACAACTCGGTTCACGAACAGAAAAGTTCATTAAAAAATATGCTCCGGTTCACGAACTCGCTTCGTTCACGAACAACTCGGTCACGAACAGAAAAGTTCATAAAAAATATGCTCCGGTCACGAACTCCGCTTCTGTTCACGAACAACTCGGTTCACGAACAGAAAAGTTCATAAAGATACGCTCCGGTTCACGAACTCGCTTCTGTTCACGAACAACTCGGTTCAGAACAGAAAAGTTCATTAAAATATGCTCCGGTCCACGAACTCCGCTTCTGTTCACGAACAACTCGGTTCACGAACAGAAAGTTCATAAAAATACGCTCCGGTTCACGAACTCTGCTTCTGTTCACGAACAACTCGGTTCACGAACAGAAAAGTCATTAAAAATACGCTCCGGTCCACGAACTCCGCTTCTGTTCACGAACAACTCGGTTCACGAACAGAAAAAGTATTAAAAAATACG